CACCCCGCACAACATGATCTACTCGACCACCATTATGGTTACCGCCAATAAAACAACGGAGGAAAAAAAAAAACGGTAACCTGGTTGCCGAGTTCGCGAAGTGAATTGGCTTGTTTTACAATGTCGTTGCCAAGCGACGAAAACCCAACCCCGATGGCAAACACCAGAGGGGGGGGTCCAATGATGGGAGAAAAAAAAGAAAAAGTACACTATAGACCATGCGAAGAAAAGAAGGTAGGTGCAGAAACACACAATAACGTGTGATATATTTGGAAGATTCAGAGCAACTCGAGCAAGCCAGAGTAGAAAATGCAGCGCGAAGAAACAGAAACAGAAATCGATCCGCGGTACCTGTGTGGGATCGACCTCTCCCTGGATGATGTTGAGGATGGAGACGTAGCAACCCTTCTTGGTGCTGGCTGACACCATGATGTTCTTGGTCTGGGTCAGTCGTCGCATCACGTCCAGCACGGTCGTTCTTCGCACGGCACTCGTCTGTCAGATGGACGATGGACGATGGACGATGGACGATGGATGCAATCATTCCACGGCGGCGAGACAAAAGCAGCAACAGCAACGGACAGTACGACCGAGACTAGTGTTAGCGATCGCGGCAGGGTTAGGTCAATTACAAGGGTAACCATGTGGAATCTATTGACCACGGCTTACGCCACGGGACGAGCATTCCGCAGTGGAAGCGGACAAAACACTGTCCTTACCCTCGTGGCGAGCCCTTCAAGACGGAGGGGCGCTCTGTGGCGTGCGTGCACGTGTGAGCGTACATAACCACCCCGTCTTTTCTTTTCTTTACATCAATCTTTACACCTACCGGCATATTTATGAAGGCACCAGCAGCGTACAGACACACCTAGGGTTCGGGAGGAAGGTCGAAAAAAAAAAAAGAACTCGTTTCCACTGGCTGTACGTGCCCTTCGCACTTTACCCCAATACTTTGTCTCATACCATAACATACCATGCAATACCATAGTACCATACCACACCATGACATGAACAAAAAATATACTACCCCGGTTGGTGCGTCTCGTGAACAAACGAGACAACACACAGCAGTGTACGGCAAGAAAGACGAAAAGTTTCACGGACAACATCAACATCCGACACCGCACGGAAAAAGCGTCATCCCACCTGAGTGTCGCTGATGACGAGAGGGGTGTAGCCGGTCATGAGGAAGTGACACCTAGGGGTGGGGATGAGAGACGCCACCAGACCTATCAGGTCGTTGTTCATGTACCCGGGATACCGCAGAGTTGTCGTCGAGGCAGCCATGACGGTGCTCACGATGGAGTTGAGTTGCCCCACGGTGGGGTTGGGGATGCGGAGGCGATCCACCTGGTCAACCAGGGTGCGTCATGGGAGAGAGAGACGAGGGTGCACACAATCAGAGAGCGAGGGCAGCAATGTACAGCTGGGTCTGTTTTCGTGCTTGGTGTTGGTGACGGTTTCACTTCAATGTAAATATAACAGACACCAACCACGCTTCCAAACCATGCTCGACTTCGACCTGCCAAAGGCATGCCGAACAAACCCAGGAGGGTGCCAATGGCGATGCGATGCGGCATGTGTAGCAAAGAAGCACCGAATGAATCCAAGTCATTGTTGTGATCCTCACCGCTATTCTATTGAGAGCCTCACCGCTATCCTATTGAGAGCCGTGTTGTCCAGCACCACCACAGCGTCCGCGTTGAGAGTCAGCCGTTTCAAGGTAAGGATGGAGTTGTACGGCTGCACCACGACATCGCTTTGGCTCTGCGACCGGACAAAAGAAAGGGAGGAGGCAAGGTATGATCGCGTGTCGACATGTGGAAGGGATCGAAAGGTAGTTCAGTGTTGGTAGCACGCCACCAGTAATGCAAATAAAAGAGAGCTGTGCATTCAACCAACCCGTAACCCAGGTCACAGACGGGGCAAAAAAAGAACCCGTAGGAACAACGCGGAAAAAAGAGACCACTTGTAACCGTAAAAAAAGAACCACAATCGTTCTTTGTAGCCATGATATGTCTGGTACAATAAGGTACGCACCTGTGTGGCGTTCGGGAAGACGGAGTAGGTCTGTATCAACTTCTTGGGGAAGTGGTCGTTCAGTCTCTCCAGCAGGTATGAGCCCATCCCTGATCCAGTCCCTCCGGCGATGGAGTGCGAAAGCACGAACCCCTGCAACACAAGCGCAAAGTTGGGGGTAGCGATAGGGTTGGTAATGGTGATGGAGAACAATTGCAAAGCTGGGGGTATGGGCAGGGTTGGCAATTGTGGTGGCGAACGAGTGCAGCGTTGGGGGTAGGGGCAGGGGCAGGGGAATGATGATTGATTGCGTCAACACTATCCTCTCCTTACACGTCGTCGAACAATGCGTGCACACGTTCCTTTCAGTATTACAATCTAGAATGCTTCTTCGAACAACAACGTCCGGGTGAGGTCATGATCAGCAACAACAATCTCACAACAAGAGGCGATGACGAGTAACCCCGAGGAGGGGCGTTCTTGTGGCGATCGGTTGGCAAGGGGACAGGCCTCGACGTTATGTCTGCTGTACGGCCGTGGTACACTGCGGTAGCATGAGCATTCGTTCCCAAGACATAGCAATAGAAATAGCAATAGCGATAGCAACAGCAACAGCATTGGGCTGGTGCACGCCGGTGTAGGCATCGCAAACCTAACGACGGCAGTTCGTCCGCATCGGTAATAAACTGATCGCGTTACGTTCCCAATTCGCGCTGGTTGGGCTTGCGGTGTTTGCCGATTTGGGATGTACTTCCATGCTGAGTCTCCTTTCGAGTAACGCTGGTGTCGTTGTGTTGCCATTTTCGGAAGAGATTGGATGGTGCCATTGAGGAAAGATCAGGTGTTTTGAGAGAGAAGACACGACCATCCGCCGACTTTGGACCAGAGAAGCGTCAAGCACAGCCGCCCTTCAGCCGACATAAGAGCGTTGCCAGATGGAACAATGCACAATTAACAATAGAGTATAACAGTTGATTGAGCCTCATATCATTATCGTCGTCACCATGCGACCGATCACAGAGAGCACTACGCCAGTCGTCCTCGCTGAAGAACACTCGTGGACTTTCGTCAAAATAATTGCCCTGATATTGCGGAGAGGTGTCCCGAATCACACACCATACCGCTCTATATTTACATTCCGCTCCCAACCATGCTGCTGAAAGTGAAATACCATGGTTATGTCGTTACATGCAAGGGAACGACCGTACTGCTGTACCTCCAAGCTGTCGCTCCCGTCCGCTTCTCGATCGATCATGTCCATGAGGTAATCGTGCTGCTCCTCCGCCTGCCGGTAGCCGCTGGCCCAGTTGTTCCCAGCACCGCCACCCTCCTGAGACATGAGACATGAGACATGAGACATGAGACATGAGACATGAGACATGAGACATGAGACACGAGACACGAGACACGTTAGGGGATTACCGCGTGAACTATCATATCCATATAATTACAGGATTGATCCTGCGGCCCAAGATTCTGCTGCTGCCGTTCGGTATCTACCATTCCGTGCTGATAACAGCAACAACGAACAGTTTCATGGTTTTCTGGATCGCGACTAGCGTACAGTACAGTAGCGAACAACGCAAACAACACCACCCATTCTCCGCCGCCGGGCAACTTCAGCCAGTAGTTCGCGGCAATACCTTGCCGTGCTTCAAGCAAAGTCGAATCTTGAGTCAGCTCCCCGGTCTAAGGACAAAACACATCTCAGAAGAAGGGTGCCCCGCAGACATACAATGCACAGGAGGGTGCCGTTTTCCATAGATGATTCCTCGCGTGAAAGGGATTTTGAAAAAAACAATATCCGCGTCTTTAAGGTGGAGACGACGGTAAAGCCTCAAATGCAACATGTTCCCCCGACACCCTACAAGATCGTGTGCACAGGGACATGACTCCCTTCCATCCCATTCCATTCGACGATGCCATAAAACGTTGTAGATGTCGTAGATGTTGCAGATGTACTGCTGCTGTACCTTGCTGACGAAGACGTTCTCCGGGTTGAAGAGATCTCGGTACCCTTCGCTCTGTATCATGTTGATCACACGGGGCTCCAGGTCCAGCAGCAACGCTCGAGGGATGTAGTGGTCATCGTCCGCTTGGTAGAAGAAGACATCCTTTCGGTCGTCACCCTGACCAACGACGCCAAGCGTGGGGAAGATCATGGCGCCCCGTACAACGACGACACGGGCCGGTGGGGCGGTGGGAGGAGGG